CACGGGGTAGTTATTGGTCGTGCCCAGTGGCGAAAGCACTGTTTGAACCTCAGGGTTCCTCTTTTGGAGGCGCGGCCTCGGGTAGAGCACTCTGCGGGGATTGGGGTACACCGGCTTCTTCATGTCGAAGACCTGCTGCAGCAGCTTCTCGTTCTCCAGGTACTGCTCGTGAGTGGTTGACCTGCTTTTCAAGCGCTCCTTGGCGTCGGTGTCACCCCACTGCGAGAGCCGCAGGTCCCCCCGTTCCCTGGCACTCCCACCGTTACTAAGTTGCTTTAGCCTACTCGGCATACTGCCGTCGACGGCAGCGACGATTTCACCTTCCGCGTCAGACACCTTCAAGGTTTGCTCGGTCGAGTCTTTCGCTCCATGAATATTCCCTACGATAACGTCATACAGAGGACGGTTCATACACTTGGCGGTTACCTGTCCCGTTAGGAACGGCGACACAAGGTGAATGTTTGCCTCTGGCAACATCAGACACGTCCCGTCCACTAAGAATACGGGACTGACTTTGCCCGTAAAATCTTCACATGCGACCAGTTCCCGGCGCATTATCACGGTGTTACTCCCGGTGTCCCTCAACACCTTTACTGCTTTGCCGTTCAAAATCCCCTCTGTGATTGGCATACCTTCCGACAGAATTGCTCTCGCCTTTTCAGTCATATTCGTGGAGGGCATTCTGAAGGCGTTTCTTGTGATTTTCTTCCTTCCCCATGAGAACGCGTCCGTCTTACCAACAGGATCATCATCGGGTTTTACGAAACATGAAACTTCTGTCTTTTCGTTCTTTCCTTGCGGACATGATCTGAATTTGTGGCCTGACCTCTGACACACTTGACAGAATACGCGTGTTTCTGGCTTTGATCGGCAATCTGCTGCCTTGTGGCCAAACTTACCACACAAGAAACATTTGATCTTTAGAAGAAAGGGTAAAAGCACAGGCGAGCTGGTGAAGAACTTCCATCGTAAACCGGAGACACGGAAAAATAAAAAAACGGACAAAACAACAAGTCTCAAACACAGCTTCTGGTTTATTTGAACATCTCCGCTCTTATATATACACAACAACCCTCCTCTCCAAAGGTCGACACACCTCCTCTCCACTCCATCAACGACATCTCAAACTGAACCAATGACTCATGCTACCTCCCTTCCTTTCATACCAACCAAAAGCTGACCCCTTTCCAATCCAAGAAACAGGCACTCAAACCCTGCTAATAATGAAAACACGTCCCCCCCCCCGATAGGCCTGTTATCAGTTGTGGCTGGTCGGTTCCAAAAAACCTATCTTTTTTTTTTTTTTTTTTTTTTTTTGGGGGGGGGGGGGGGGGGCGTGTTTTCATTATTAGCAGGGTTTGAGTGCCTGTTTCTTGGATTGGAAAGGGGTCAGCTTTTGGTTGGTATGAGAGGAAGGGAGGTAGCATGAGTCATTGGTTCAGTTTGAGATGTCGTTGATGGAGTGGAGAGGAGGTGTGTCGACCTTTGGAGAGGAGGGTTGTTGTGTATATATAAGAGCGGAGATGTTCAAATAAACCAGAAGCTGTGTTTGAGACTTGTTGTTTTGTCCGTTTTTTTATTTTTCCGTGTCTCCGGTTTACGATGGATGATCTTTAGAGCGGGTTTGCTGCCATGCACATCTTCCTTCAGGGAATCTAAGGCTTCCTTGGCCTCCTTCCTGAAGTTGGCCAGATTAGGCTGGCCCCGCGCCTCCAGGAAGTGGTCCGCCATTTCAACCAGCGCCGATATGGTCTTACAGCTTCTTTCCTTTAAGAAGACAGCCAGCCTAGGATGACAATTCCGAAGGAATTGCACCCCGATCATCTGGTCACGAATCCCCTCATACGTTTTTGGGCATGCGTTCATACTGACCCACCGGTCGAAGAACCCTTCTAATCTTGCACCAAACTGGCTCCCTGTCTCTCCGTCCAACGGCTTACTCTCTCTAAATTTCTCGCGGTACCCTTCTGCCGTGTACCGAAACCGCTGGAGCAAAGCCCTCTTTACCTTATCATAATTCAGAGAGTCTTCAGGTGACATCCTACCTATGACCTCCAGAGCTGGGCCAACAAGGCCCATGCTTAGAGCAGTCGCCCACTTCTCTTGCGGCCAATCTTGCCCCTGAGCCACACGCTCAAATCTCCTCAAATACGAGTCGAGATCGTCCCTTTTGTCATCGAAGGGAGGCATAAGCTTGTGAGGACTAGGAGATAGCGATATAGATGCGCGACGTGACCCTTCACTGCCATCTGCTCGCCCTATATCGGTTGCGCTAGCCTCTGCAAGACGAATCTTTAGTTCGATAATGCGTTGCTCACTTTCTGCCTTGAGGCGCTGTGCTCAACTCTCAGCAGCCCTCTCCTCTCGTTGGCATGCTCGCTCCTCATCCACCCAAGACCTCAACTCCGCTCCTGCCAGTCCCAACTCAGCGCCCAAAGACATTAACTCTTTAACCTCCATTCTGAATAATTATTGTTACGTAGAAAAACGAGGGAACAGAATATCTTGTCCTGTCGCGGACGCCAGTTAATTGTCACAGGGTTCTTTGGGGTTAATAATCGACAAGATTCAATGTCCTTCGTTTTTCTTAAAACATGTATTTACAAAAGATATCAAAGAGTTCATATGGATATACTAAAAGAAATAGGAAAACTTAGTAAAAAAATGGAAGGCAGGAAAACGCAACAGTCACCATGTCTGAGTCACCATGCGCAGCAGTGGGTGTTGTGTCTGGGGCTGTCGTTGTCGGCCGACGGTTGTGGCAGGCAGTCGGGAGCGGGTGCGGTTGGCTTCCGTCGGCGGTCCCAAGAGTCACCGCAACCAGTGCTCGCGCAGTAGGAAGCCGGGCAGCGTAGGTTTCTATGCGCTGCCCTCGCTGGAACAGGCTGCTGGTCAGCAGTAGGAGGCCGCCGATTGCCCTGGTCGATGGTGTCCTTCCACCCTCTGCACGTTTTCTTCGGCCAGTCCTCTGCACGCTCTCCGAGCACGCACTCCAAAATCCCTCTTCTTCGTCATCTTCCTTTCTCCCTCTGGGCCGATCCATGGGTTGACTTGCCCTTCTTCTTTTCCACATTCGGTCACATCATCACACCCGCCAACCGCCCCCTCCCGCCGCGGAGCCAGCAGCCAAGAAATCCCGCAGCGCGGCTGCCCCAGGGACCAGTGCCCAGAGCCGGAGTGGGGGCCCGCAGCCCTTTCACGGGGGGCCCTTTTCCCCGAGGCTACATGAGGGGGGCCTACCTCCACCAGGGACATCAAGGCAACGGTACGCCCGCACCTCTTAGCATTGCCGCCCGGGGCCGACTGGCATATTGCCGCGAAGCGTGGAGGTTATTCACCCACGATGCTTGGGTCCTTCAGACAACACAGGGGTACAAGCTGGAGTTTGCACAGGTACCAGCGATTCAAGGGTTGCACAACGTGCCGACCCGAGGGCAGTCAAATCAGGTCCGGGAGGCAGTGTCCGGTGTGGTCAGAAAGGGAGCGGTCTCTCAGGTACCACCGTCCGAAGTGAAGTTCCTCTCCCCCTTCTTCATAGTACCAAAGAAGGACAACAAGGTGCGCCCAATTCTAGATCTCCGACAACTAAACGAGGCGGTGCAACACAACCACTTCAAGATGGAGGGGTGGCAGTCTGTGAGGGAACTTATCCAGCAGGGCGACTCCATGATACGTATCGACCTGAAGGATGCATACCTGTCTGTCCCAATCTGCCACCAGGACCGCCCCTGCCTCGGCTTTCGAGAGGGGGACAGGGTCTACCGTTGGAACGTGCTGCCATTTGGCCTCAGATCGGCACCGAGAGTTTTCACAAAACTTCTGAAACCAGTCGCGGCCTATCTCCGGTCCAAGGGACTTCGCATTGTCATGTTCTTGGACGATATCCTTGTCATGAACCAATCCCCCTCCCTGCTCGCAAACCAGGGACATCTAATCGTGAACCTCCTACAAAACCTGGGTTTTGCCGTGAACATGGAGAAGTCAGTACTGACACCAGCCCAGGACTTGTTGTTTCTGGGACTATCGATAGACTCGAGACGATTGACGCTCGAGCTCCCTGGAGAGAAACTCGCCAACCTGTTAGACCACCTACAGCAGAGGCTAGAGCAACCGGTGATCTCGGCCCGCCAGGTCGCAAGCTTGGCGGGACAACTGAATGCATGCCTAATGATACTGCCGGAGGGTTCCTTTTATATCAGGAACCTTCAAACAGATTTGAGACGGGCCCTACAGAGAGGTACATACACGACCACTCTTACACTATCCAGGGACACACGGCAGGACTTAGCGTGGTGGATCCGAGCACTGAGGAAGACCCCAAGGAGCCAGATCAAGACACCCCCAGTAGTACAGACGATACAGTCGGGCAGCTCGTTGAAGGGGTGGGGAGCATGCTCGGAGGGGTGGACGATCGGGCATCACTGGACACCACTCCAATCCACTTGGCACATCAATGTCCTGGAGCTGATGGCAGCCTTCCTGGCCCTTCAGGCGCTGGCAAAGAATGTGTCTCGGGGCTCCATCCTCCTCGAGCTAGACAACACAGCAGCAGTAGCGACCATCAACAGGAGGGGCAGTACTTGCTCTCCACAACTCACCAGGATAGCCCATGAGCTATGGTCGTGGTGTTGGGCGAGGGGAATATCAGTCAGGGCGCAACATATTCCGGGGCACATGAAGACGGATGCAGACCAAGCATCCAGGAGAGTGATGGATGCCAGCAGTTGGAAGCTGTGCCCGTTCACATTCAGCAGGATCAACTGTCTGTGGGGCCCCGTGCACACGGACCTTTTTGCAGACTTCTCCAACCACCAGGTGAGGCACTACTACAGCTGGAAGCCGGATCCTCATGCGGCAGCAGTGGATGCTCTCAGCCAGGACTGGACGGGTCAGGGCCTCTATGCCTTCCCACCGTTCAGCCTTGTGAGCAGATGCATTGCCAAGTTGCAGAGCTCCAACAGTCTGCTCATTCTAGTAGCTCCAGTCTGGCCATCTCAGCCATGGTATGCCTCGCTGCTGCCCCACTCATACGAGGAACCGCGTCTTCTTCTCCAATCACACGACCTACTGCGCAGCCACGACGGGCAGGTACATCCAATGCTCAGCACGGGGAGCCTGACACTAGCAGCATGGAGACTGACGAACTCCAGCAAACACATAGCCAACTTTCGGAGCAGGCTGCACACCTCATTGAGGCATCATGGAGGCGGGGAACACAGCTCACCTACACCTCTTGCTGGCGCAGGTGGGAACGTTGGTGCCATTCAAGGACTGTTGATCCCTTTTCTCCCACTCTAACACAGGTGCTCAACTTCCTCGCTAGCCTCTTTAAGGAGGGCCTGGCGTATCGCACTACAGGGTGTTACCGTTCCGCCTTGTCTCAGATCTTGCATAACTTTGACGGTTGCCCTCTAGGGGAACTCCCATCAGTTGTGCGCCTTATGAAGGGAGCGTTTAATTCTAACCCCCCCAAACCCCGATACCCCAGAACTTGGAGGGTTGAAACGGTGACAACCCTCCTGCAGTCGTGGGGTCCTAACAAGGATCTTAGCCTCAAGATGCTCACTAGCAAGCTAGCTATGCTATTAGCCCTTGCTTCAGCAGGCAGGACGTCAGACTTGTGCCTGCTTTAAACATGCCACATCTGTAAACAATCCGCGGGTTGGGAGCTTGGGCTCAGTGGCCTCAGAAAGACTTCTGGGGCATCTAAACCCCTTCCCACCCTCTTCTTCCCAGCATTCGAAGAGGTTCGGGAATTGTGTCCAGTGGAATGCTTGCAGGTGTACCTCGAACGAACCGCAGGACTCCGAGGCGCCCACACGCAGCTTCTGCTCACTACGCAGAAGCCTTTTTGCCCAGCAGCACGGGACACAGTAACTCACTGGATAAAACACACACTAACGCTTGCGGGCATCGACACGTCGGTTTTCAAAGCGCACTCAACGCGAGGAGCAGCCACCTCCAAAGCTGTGGAGGTCGGAGTACCACTTGCCGACATCTTAGCAGCAGCTGACTGGTCCTCCGAGGCGACATTTAACCGCTTTTACCGACGGCAATCAGATACCCGGGCTCACTTTGGAACCCAGGTGCTGAGAACACGTGCGAAAGCTTTGAACAAGCAGTTGTGAACTTGATAGTAAGTGCGACAGAGGCTGAAGTATAATTACCAGTTCTGACGAATGGTACTTACCTGAAGTTAGAGCGGGAATTATACGAAGCCTATGGAAGCACTTACTATCAAGTTCACACTCCCATCACATCCCTGCCCATTTTCGGGGTAAATTATCACATTCTCTTCCCTGTCGCAGGTCGAGGTGGTTCAACATGGCACCAGAGGTAACGCATAGCGTGAGAGCTCCAACCAGGTGCCATCACCAGAACAGGAAATAAAAGTGTTCTGAGTGCACAAGTGCCCATACTCTTTCTTGTGGGGGCCCCACCATCTCAATGCAGCCGCAAGCTGTGCTGTAACCATTAACTCGGAAAGATAAAGACGGAAGGGGAGAATACTTCCCAAAGTCCCTAAGGGGGTGCGCCTAGGGTGCCACCTATTTTTTATTTTCAAAATAGCTTTGAAACGTTGACGTCAGTTCCGGTATAGAAGGGAAAGCAGTTGTGAACTTGATAGTAAGTGCTTCCATAGGCTTTGTATAATTCCCGCTCTAACTTCAGGTAAGTACCATTCGTCAGAACTGGCAATTGTCCACGTGTTTGTAGTTAGCTTTGCCGTGAATAGACGGCGCTTCACAGAAAATAAAAATGTGGCAGATCTCTGAATTTGGCAAAAAATTGTTCCAACGCAGGCAACAGGAGATATAAAAATGGTGGCGTCAACTTCTGACCACTGCATTCGTACTGATGATCTTGCCTCAAAATTGGGGTGAAAAAAAAGATATTGTGACGTCTCTTCAAGTTCGGAAGATGAAAAAAATCTTTCATCAGAGCGAGAGCAATGCAACCGAGTTATTGGATTGTAGCTCAGACGACTGCGATACCGATGAGGACATTGTGTCGGCATGTCGGCATTGGACTAGGATCAACGTAAAATAATCCTCCTCCAGCCCCTCCCCATTTTGCGTTTACTTTGCGTACAAGGTGATGTCAACTGTCTGCGGCACTGCTACGCCCGGCCTGAACGTCCATGTGCAAGGTAATGTGAACTCCCTGCGTTAATGCAGTGAAGCCAAATTTTAGTCCCCTTTTCTCTAGCAGTATGTTCATAATAAATTTTTGGCATTCGTATTGCATATTAAATTTATAGGGCACATAAAAAAATCAATATTTTCAAATCTTTTTTTTTTTTTTTAATTTTTGCGGTAGGCAAAGGGTTAAACATGTTTTCAAATATATTAATTTTCCCTCGGGCAATTCAAGATTGGAATTCACCAGTCACTCACCAGTTTTGATAACGCATTTCGTCCAGTATATTGTAATAGGCATGGTGAGTTGGGTTAGTTGGTACTGATTAAACATGGTTAAAGATGCGCACAAAAAGAAAACGACAGAAAAGAGAAATACGCAGACAACATACAAGTGCACACTCACCTGTATTTGAAGGAAGGAGGAAAGAAAAAAAGAGGTTCAACTGGCAGTGTGAGCAAGTTCGCTGCTAAGATCGCCTGACAACACCTTATATCCTAATGTCCAAGCCTGGCCACTAGCAAGGGACCCGCGGCTCGAGCCACTCGTGCGTTGCCTTCGGTCAGCTTGAGTGTTGCGGCGTGCATCGTATGCCTCTTAGTGGCAGCTTTTATGTTTCTTTTTTATTAAATTTACCTCTATTTTAAGCCGCACCGCCACTTCGCTTTAAAGCCGCTCAGGGTCTACGCCCAACCTCAAGACCTCACTCACAGCGGAACCAGCTTTAGCTGAGGCCACACAGAAACAGAGGTACACAAGCTCGAGAGGACATTTCCTTCTCCGTCTTTAACAGAGAAGGTAATGGCTCCTCTAAAATCCTTTTCACATGGCTGAATCCGTGTGCCTCCCCCCCCCCCCCCCTCAGCTCGTGTACCCCTGTTCCTGTGTGGCCTTAGCTCGAGCCGATTCTGCCGGTTGTACTTGTCTCTTTCTCCCTTCAAAAGCATGGGTTGTAAGTGCGCGCTTGTCTGTTGTCTATGTGTTTCTTTTCTTTGTCCTCTCTTTGTGCACACCTTTAACCATGTTTCATCAGATATATCTTTAGATCACATTTTTCGTATGTATTCATTGTGCAACTATGATCAAAACTTCCACACTTGCCAAGGCTTTCAACTCAGAGCCGCAGTATGGTGCAGAAGAACAAGGCTCACAGAAAAGAACGGCTGGTATGGTGCCACAATGTCACGTGCAAGTCATGTATATACAAAAGAATTTCGACAATACGGTCATGGTTTACTGAATTCAGGGACGACACAAATTTTTCAGAGACTCTGGCCGAAGTCTCTTAGAACAAAAGTGTTACAATTCAAGATAGTATAAATGCTGTCTCAGGCCGCGGTGGATCTAAAGTGTTACAATTCAAGATAGTATAAATGCTGTCTCAGGCCGCGGTGAATCATACGAACGAAAGTGCCAATCTCGAGAAGGTAGCATATACACTTTATGCGTCGTCTAGGGCAGCGCTCGGCTTCTACAGCCGTTGCAGGTGCCTTCGTGTCATTTTTCTGGCTGTTCTTTCTGCATGCTTGCCGTGCGATCACAACGGCGCTAGCATTCGAAGGTTCGAAAATACTGTATGATTGCGTGCAAGGGCCACACCCGTGTAAGGGCCGCACCACTGTGTTTATAGCGAAATATTAGCAAAAAAAGATTAAAAAAATTATTCGTGTATGAGCCGCACCCCCCTTCTTTTGAGGCTCGCTAGCCGCGCCACGGCAGTCAGGTTTGTCTCCGCGGCGTGGCGAGCACGGCTTGCTCCGCTTTTCCGCTTATCTTTGCTGCTGCCTTGTTGCTCTGCTCTTTCTCTGCTTACGCTCTTTCCACATTCCTTTGCTCTCCTCCTCGCGATGCGGCCGACGCGGCCACAGCAAAACAGCGAACACGAGTAGACACACACGGGAGGCGGATGTTTCGCAGTTCGAACGCTGCTGAACCACGCGGCGCAACCACGCTCCGCAGTTTTTCTTTCCAACGTTCCCTCCCCACAGCAGGAGTGCAATGGGTAAACACAGTTATACGGCTGGCTTTAAACTGAAAGTGGTAGCGTATACCCTTGACCACGGTAAACGTGCTGCTGGTCGTCAGTTCAAAGTTGATGAAAAGTGTGTGCGACGGTGGTGTGACCAGAAAGACGCCTTGGCCAGCACGAGCAAGACTAGGCGCGCGTTCCACGGCAAACCCTGCAAGTATCCAAAGTTGGAAAATGAATTATTTAACTACGTGGTGGAAGTGCGCAACAATGGATACGCTCTGTCGACGGACATGTTAAGGATGAAGGCACTGGCACTGGCTTTGTGTGAAAAAAAATACCTTCAGACTTCAAAGCGAGTGCCGGTTGGATCCGGAGGTTTATGAAGAGGAAAGATCTCTCAATTCGTCGAAGAACAACCATGTGCCAACGGCTTCCCGCAGAGTACGGGGAAAAGCTGCTGAGCTTCCAGAAGTATGTCATTGAACTGCGCAGGGAACACGGATACATCCTGTCCCAAATCGGCAATGCCGATCAGACTCCCGTTTGGTTTGACTCGCCGGAAAACTGCACTGCGAACGCCAAAGGGCAAAAGAGCGTGCTCGTGCGTACGACGAGAGCAGAACGCCAGCGCTGCACCGTAATGCTTTGCATCACTGCGGATGGACGGAAGCTGCCGCCCTACGCGATTTTCAAGAGGAAGACCATCCCTGCCGAAGAGTTTCCAAGCGGCGTCATAGTCCGTGCTCAAGAAAAGGGCTGGATGAACGACGAACTGGTGGTGGACTGGCTCAAGAATGTTTGGAAAAACCGCCCTGGTGGAATGCTGGTGAAGAAGTCCCTCCTTGTGCTGGACAGCTTCCGCGGACATTTGACTCCCAAAGTGAGGGCGGAACTGCGCGAAGCCCACATGCACTTGGCTGTCATACCGGGCGGACTTACTGGCATGCTGCCACCGCTTGATGTCAGCGTAAATTGGCCCTTCAAGGTGGAGTTTCACCGTTGCTATACAGAATGGATGGCCAGCGGAAACCATGAAAAGACGCCGACTGGACGGCTCAAAAGAGCACCTCTGGCGACTGTTGCCAAGAGTATCCTGGACGCCAGGAATGCTGTCTCCCTCGACATCGTGTCCAAAAGCTTTAAAGTGACGGGCACTGCGAACAATCTGGACGGTACAAAGGACGACCTCGTGTGGGAGCGTGCCTCCGAAGAGCCTGACCAGTCAGACACCGGCACCGAGGACAGCACGAGTGACAATGATTGAGTCTCAAATAAAGTGTGCTTGAGACAAGTGCGTCAAACTGCTAGTATATTCATTTTTCGATGTGCGTAAAATTTTTTTTCTTCATTCGTGTATGGGTTGCATTGCGAAAATCAACCCTTGAATATGAAAAAAAATGTGCGGCCCTTACACGAGTTTATACGGTATACCCCCGTCTAGCGTTGTTGCACTACCTGTGTCATCACACATTGAGACTTGCTGGAGAAATTTGCATTCACCTACATCCAAGGTTGCTGCTT